GGACATTTTAAAACACATAAAGGCAGATAAATCCCTGGAACCTGAAGCGGTGTATCCCAGAACTTTGTGGGAAGCTAGGGAAGTGATTGTTGTGCCCCTTGCTGAGATATTTGTATCATTGATAGCCACAGGTGAGGTGCCGAAAGACTAGAGGTTGGCTAATGTGGTGACATTATTTAGGAAAGTGGTAAGGAAAAGCCAGGGAACTATAGACCGGTGATCCTGATATTAGTGGTGGGTAAATTGTTGGAAGGTATTCTGAGGGACAGGATTTTCACGCACTTGGAAAGGCAAGGACTGATTAGGGATAGTCAACACGGCTTTGTGTGTGGGAAATCATGTCTCACTTTATTGAGTTTTTTTTGAAGTGACAAAGAAGATTGATGAAAACACAGCGATAGATATTATCTATACAGACTTCAGTAAGGTATTCGATATGGTTCCACACGGTAGACTGGGTAACAAGGTCACATGGGATCCAGGGGGAGCTAGCCAATTGGATTTAAAATTGGCTTGAAGGTAAGAGACAAAGGGTGGTGGTAGAGGGTTGTTTTTCATACTGGAGGCCTGTGCCCAATGGTGTGTCACAAGGATCGGTGCTTTTTGTTTTTTATATAAATGATTTGGATGTGAATAAAGGAGGTATGGTTAGTAAGTTTGCAGATGACACCAAAACTGGTGGTGTAGTGGACAGTGAAGAAGGTTATCTCAGAGTAAAATGGGACCTTGATCAGATGGGCTGATGGACTGAGGAGTGGCAGATGGAGTTTAATTTAGATAATTGTGAGGTGTTGCATTTTGGTAAGGCAAATCCAGAGCAGGACTTATACAGTTAATGGTAGGGCCCTGGAGAGTGTTGGCAAACAAAGGGACCTAAGGGTGCAGGTGCATAGTTCTTTGCAATTGGAGTCATGGGTAGACAGGTTGGTGAAGAAGGCATTTGGTACACTTGCCTTCATTGGTCAGTGCATTGAGTCAGGGAGTTGGGATTTCATGTTGCGGCTGTACAGGATGTTGGTTAAACCACTATTGGTATACTGCATACAATTCTGGTCTCCCTGCTTTAGGAAAGATGTTGTTAAACTTGAAAGGGTTCAGAAAAGATTTACAAGGATTTTTCCAGGATTGGAGGGCTTGAGCTATAGGGAGACGTTGAATAGTCTGGGGCTTTTTTCCCTTGGAAAATTGGAGGCTGAGGGGTGATTATACAGAGGTTTATAAATTATAAGGGGGGCTTGGATATTGTGAATAGCCTGGTAGGCGAGTCCAAAACTAGAGGGCATAGGTTTAAGGTGAGCGTAAAGATTTAAAAGAGACCTGAGGGGTAACTTTTTTATGCAGAGAGTGGTGCATGTCTGAAATGAGCTGGCAGAGGAACTGATGGAGGTGGATGCAATTCCAACATTTAAAAGGTATCTGGATGAGTACATGAATAAGAAGGGTTTAGAGGGATATGGGCCAAGTGCTGGCAAATGGGACTTGATTCATTTCGGCTATCTGGTCAGCATGGACGAGTTGGACTGAAGGGTCTGTTTCGGTGCTGTGCAACTCTGCGACTGCAGCGATTCAAGAAGGCAGCTCACTGCCACCTTCTCAAGGACAACTAGGGACGGGCAATAAGTTCTGTGCCAGGCAGTCAAAGCCTAAACCCCTTGAACAAATAATAAGTAACAAATGCAGATTTGTTGTTTGAGATGAGAGCGATAGCAGATCAGCTATTAGGTGCAGAAATACACTCCTGTAGTCAGATCCATGTGCACTGGCCAATGCTGAAGCATTGGGTGGGGTCCCTCCCTCAAAGAGAAACAATTGTGACAGAATGTGAACTTCAGTCACATGTTAAACAAATTAAGATAATATAGAATGACATTGAAAGTGCAGCATAGAGTGAGTCCAGCCAGCTTTTGTTAGCTTTACCCTTTAGGCAAGCAATAATACTATATCCTTTCTATTTTTATAGTCTTACGCCCTCCTATCTGATCTAGTCTCTAGGGCTTCACTTTAAGCATTAGTTCTAGAAGTAGTACCATTGCAAAACTCTCCGTCTGAGGTTTCCTGTATCTAACCTTGAACCTGTATCTCTTCAGCCATGTGATGTTTTTATCTCCTCTGTTGCTTCATAATTTTAAAACATCTCCATAAAATTGCCTTAAATTTTCTCTCTCTCATATTGATAAGACCAACAATTGTTGATGTCTTTCTTTATATTGCATTGGCTGGAATCAGACAGGACCCTTGTGAATAAAAGGGAGGAAAGGCTTTGCGTGACTTGAATTACTTTCACATGACAGCCATCTTCACATGATCATGCCAAGGTGTGAACAAGAGACCTCACCTCGAGATAATGGGAGATTAGCAAAGCAGTTACTTTCTCAGTTACATATTATCTCAGGATGATTGACCTAAAACAATTTCCAATTTTTAGGAAACACATTTCTTTGCTTGCTTTACATTATCTCTGGGTGATCAATTATTTAGGAATATTTGGTTTATTAGTTTTTAAAACATGTTTCATATGGTTTGAGGGGTGGGTGTAGAGTATTTGAGAATGTTGGTTGGTTCTGTTGGACCTTTGATAGGGTGAATACTGACCAAAAACCTCTTTTTTTTTTGGTAAATAGCCATTTTGAATATTAGAAAATGCCTGAATTCTGGTTAATGATTTCTGGAGTCATGCTGCTCAACACTTTTTGTTTTTCTCCATTTGCCCAGACTTGTGCACTAGCATTGCCAACCCTCAAGGATTGTCCCAGAGTCTAGAGAAACCAAAAGACAAAAGTCTCTTCAGCATAGAAGAAAATTAGTTTTTTTGTATTCACTTTTGCGATTGCTTCTTTGTCAGTAACAAAAATATTGAGGAAACAAGCCAGTGAGTATGGGATTTAGACTTGGAAGTCAAGATTAATCCAATGGGGCAGAAGTTATTTCTCTCTTTTCCTGTTGGAAGATGACAGTGCAGCTGGAGAAAAGACCAATTCTGGGATTTTAGGTGATTTAATTCAGGAGATCATGTGATGGAGTATCCAGGAATGTAGCCAACCAGAGTTGGCAAATGTACTGTGCACCTGTTATTCGTGACCTTCCAAAGACAAACTTGCCTTGTTGTGTCTGGAGATGATGGAGGTGGCTAATGAAAACACTATTTCTTATCTACTTTTGACCTCAAAAAAAATTATGTGCTTTTTTTCTTTCCCTCTATTTTCTCCTTTCTATTTTTGGAGGTACTGGATTCACGGTTACACCATTAACCTTCCTATACCCCACCCCCCACCATTGCCCCCCAACAAAGTGCCCTTTTTCAGCATGTGAACTTTAGCAATGAGTGTCAGCAGGCTATTGGACCATGAGGGAATCACAGCTGAGGTCAATGCAAACATCCACCTGTGCACTTTCCACCTGGGGCTCAGTGGGCAGTGATCTGGTACAAAATCTCTGCAAGATATTTTCCATTTCACAGCTCATGGGCAAGGAAGTCAATAATAATATTTTTTTTTTTGCCCTTTATTCATTTATGGGATGAAGGTGTTGCTGGCTAGGCCAGCATTTATTGCCCATCCCTAATTGCCCAGAGGGCAGCTAAGAGTCAACCACATTGCTGTGGCTCTGGAGTCCCATATAGGCTAGCAGTTTCCTTCCCTAAATGATGTTAGTCAACCGGATGGGATTTTCTTGACAATTGACAACAGATTCACAGTCATCATTAGGTTCTTAATTCCACCAGCTGCCATGGCAGGATTTGAACCTGAGTCCCTAGAATGTTACCTCGGTCTCTGGATTAACAATCTAGCAATAATACCATTAGGCCATTGCCTCCCCCTGTTACCTTTCTGAAATTGGCTTGCTTAATTGGTGAAGATAAGCCCTCAACCCCTTGAAATTCTAGTCCAAGCCCAATTCATTATTTTAAAGTTTCCATTATGATCATGCACATCACAATATCAACTGTCAAGAGACTTGCTCCAAAATTCATCCTTACATTTAGAAGTGACAACTCATGCATCACCTGTTCCCTTCCCCTTGCCGTTTGGGGCCATGCCTTCAGCTGCTTGGGCACTACTCTCTAGAATTCCTTCCCCTAAATGTCTCCCCTTTCTACCTCGCTGTCCTCCTTTAAGATACTCTTTAAAGTGTACCTCTTTGACCAAATTGTTTGTACCAGTTCCTCAATATCCCATCATTCACCTTGCTGTCAATGTTCTTCTGCTTATCTTTTCATAAAGCACCTTGTGAGATTTTAATGGTCCTATATAAATGCAAGTTGTTGCTAATGGAAGCCAAAGTCACCTAAGATGCCATTAGATGATGTTTTAAGGGATTTGTTTAAGAAAACTCTCTTGTGCAGTGTGAGCCAGGCCAGCATTTATTAACCGCTCCTAATTGCCTGTGTATTGAGTGGCTTGCTCGGCCATTTCAGAGGGTAGTTTAGAGCCAACCACATTGTGTTGGTCTGAAGTCACGTGTAGGCCAGAACAGATAAGGATGGCAGGTGTTCTTCTCTCAACGACATTAGTGAACCAGATGGGTTTTTACAACAACTGATGGTAGTCTCATGAGGCTGAGATGTCAAGGAAAATTTGACATTGTTGTTACTGGGAAAATCATTGTGAGGAACATCTCAGGCACCTTGGTTGTTTGAGCATGCTCAATTTTGTCACCAGCTCCAAGTATCTAATGAGAAACACAACGAGCCACAGCTTTCTCCCAATTAATGATATCGCATCATATCTCAGAAGTGTCACTAATTCTTCCTACGTAATAAATGACTTTGAATGCAGACAATGTTTCATTGGGCAGACGCAAGTCAGTATCTATACACAAAGATCCCATAAACTGCAACTGGATGAAAGATGATTTGGGGCCTGGGGGAGGCATGTAAACGTGAGAATCCAATGTTTTCCTTCAGATTGAAATGGAATTGTGAATATTAACCTGAACAACAGAAACCAGCAAAAGGGTTCTTTGTTTTATCATCTCACTCATAGAATTGCACCTCTGACAGAATACTGGAGTGATCTATTATGGTCTCATGACCAAAGATTGCCATCTGACAGGCTGCAATCCCACTGCTGCGGAAAGGGCAACGTTATGACTGCATTGAGTAAGCTACAGTGAAGCGAGGGCGCTAGAAATGGTATTAGCACTGTTGAGACTAGATTAGGGAAAATGAGGCAGGGCTTCACCTCCTGTAACGCTATTTAGTGACCCCACCCTAGAAGACGCACAACCTCAGAAGCATGCAGTCATGGAAGATGACTCACCAGTGTTAGCATTCCACATGAGGAAGGTTAAAGCTGAAAACCAAAACATGAGCAAATGAAGGACATAATGTTAAACCAACTAGCTGAAACTTGTGAAGAAAGGATTTGCATTTATGTAGCACCTTTTTTACGAACTCAAGGTATCTCATGGCCAATTTGTGAAATACTTTCCTGAACAGCAATCTTACATTGGCCAGGTGATCTGTTTTAGGTTTTGGATGAGGGACAAATATTGACCAGATCACCTTGACAACTTCCTGAACTCTCCTTAAAAATGTACTGGAATCCCTCAAATCCATATGAGATAGAGTAGAAAGGTTCCATACCTCATCCAAAAGACAGCAACTGTAACTGTGGAACTGGGAGCATCAGCTTTGACTTTGCATTTAGATCCTAGGAGTGGGAACTGAACCCACAACCATTATCACTCAGAGGTAAGAGCGCTGGCAGCCAAGCCCACGCCTATCTAGAGCTAGCCCAGTGGACAAAAGATATACTAGCCCAAACCTTCTGAGGAGGTGCCTGTTGGTCTCCCATTACCAACGCTGTTTGGATATCTGCTATCACCTGATGTGTACCAGAGGTGGACAGGAGTTCTTGCTGTCCTCTGAAAATTACCCCATTGGATGCATTCAGTGAAAGGTAGGTCAACGCCTGAGTCGCAGAGTTTTTTGACCTATTTTGTTGCTTAACCGTGAAGTTGGAAAGTCCTTGATCTTAACAGATTAAATTATCTTTTTTAAACACGTTTCTGAAAAGCTGATATCAACCTTGAGAAAACAGTAAATGATCAGCTAATGGAAAGTACAGCTCAGAAACTTCAATCACGACATACACTCGCACTCAGTAAATAAAGTCTATTGGCAGAACTGACAAGTTAACCCTTTAGGTGCCAGTGAACATAGAACATGGAATATAGAACAGTACAGCACAGGAACAGACCCCTTGGCCCACCATGTCTGTGCCAACCATGATGCCATTCTAAACTATTTCCATCTGCCTGTGTCCCTCTGTTCCCTCCCTGTTCACATGTCTGTCTAAAATGCCTCTTAAACATTGCTAATGTAATTATGATGTACAATATCTGTCCTGATAGCACATCTCCTTTAAACTCTCCCCTCTCACCTCAACCTATGTCCCTTAGTATTTGACATTTCCATCCTGGGAGAGAAACTCTGACTATCCATTCTATTCATGCCTCTCGTAATTTTATATTCTTATATCAGGTCACCCCTCAGCCTTCGACACTTGGTCAAAAACATTCCAAGTTTGTTCCACCTCTCCTTTATAGCTACAAAACCAGAAGTTGCTGGAAAAACTCAGCAGGCCTGGCAGCATCTGTGAAGGAAAAAAATCAGAGCTAACGTTTCAGGTCCAGTGACCTTTTCTCAGAACGGGTCACCTTATAGCTAATACTCCAGTCCAGGCAACACCCTGGTTAATCTTTTTTGCACCCTCTCCAAAGCCTCAACATCCTTCCTATAGTATGGTGACCAGAACTGCACACAATATTCCAAATGTGACCTAACTAAAGTTTTACACAGCTGTAACATGACTTGTCAATTCAATGCCCCAACTGAAGAAGGCAAACATACCGCATCCTTTCTTTACCACCTTATCCATTTGTGCTGCCACTTTCAGGGAGCTATGGGCTTGGACCCCAAGATCTCTCTGTATATCAGTGCTCCTAAGGATATTGCTATTTACTGTACATTGAAGTTTTAAATGTTTTTGTTTTAATATGATTGGGGAAAAGATGGACCAATATAAGGGGAAAAACAGGCATCAATATTTCAGATGTACACCATTCACCAGATACCGAGATTTTTAACACTTGATTTGTTACCCAACTCCAGGTCTTTTGCCCAATGACCTATATTGGCTCCTATTTCTTGCCTTGATTTTGAATCCCTACATATCTTACCACTGTCTCTCTCTCTCTCTTTCTCTTTTTTTCTCTCTCTCTCTCTGTTCTCCGTCCACGCTATCTGCTTTGAAGAAGTCTGCACTCCTCCAGTTCTGGCCACCTGCACATTCCTGATTTGAATCAATTTGCCATAAGACAAGGCCCTAATCTCCACGATTTTCTCCTTAAACCTCTGCTTCTATACCCTTCCAAGATACTTCTTAAAACCTACATCTTAGACCAAATGTTTATTCACCCGTTTGTTTTTAGCTTCAGTGAAACGCCCTTGGTTTATTGGAACCATGTTAAAATTACTAAACAAAAATAGTTGTTGTGGAATCACTGCAATGAGGTAATGGGCCATTGGTGAGATGCATTAAGGCTCTTTAAGAATGAACTCCATGGGTTTACAGTTGAATAATAATGTTAGTTACTCAATGACAGACACTAATTTGTAACTAAGGGTGAACCATTAACTAAAATTCCATATAACTAGAAATGGCACATTTGACCTTCAAATTTCCGTCTGTTTTTTAACCTGTGGAGGTTAAATGTGAAGAATTACGTCCCAAACTCAAGGAAACATACCAGCCACATTTAAAACAGTTTTAGACAGGAGCTGTAGTTGAAATGGCCAGTTTTGAACTGCCCTGAAGAAGGTAATGCCCGAGATGTTGACTGCCCCTTTCCTCCAAATGCTGCCTAGCCTGATGTGTTCTTTCAGCCTCCTGTTTGTCTACCTTGGAACACGTTGGCCGTAGCAACAGAATGTTGCCATTGGGAAAAGTGATCTCTGCATCAGTTCTTTATCGGAGATGATCTTACAATGGCTTTGTGTGGATGTTGAATTAACTATGTTCGTAAAGTGCCACTTCCGCAGGCAACTATACATCCCTGTCTCACAGTGTAGGTGAGCTTCAGTGCTCACGAAGATCTAAATCTTCCTGTAAGTATTTACTTAGGACCAGCACATACTCGAATTAAAACAGAAAGTGCTGGAAATACTCAGCAGGTCAGGCAGAATCTGTAGAGAGAGAGAATTAATGTTTTAGTTCGATGGCCTCTTCAAATTAATTACCTAATCTCTTGATGTGCTAACTCATATCAAGGAATTGCCCAGAGGGCAGTTAAGAGTAAATCACATTGCTGTGGGCCTTGAGTCACATATAGGCCAGACCAGGTAATGATGGCAGAATTCTTTCCCCAAAGGATATTAGTGAACTAGATGGGTTTCATGGCCATTAGTAGATTCTTAATTCTGGATTCTTTTTATTTAATCCAAATTCCAACATATGCTGTAATGGGATTCAAACCAGGGACCCCAGAGCATTACCTTGATGTGTGGATTAACAGTCCAGCAATAATACCATGAGGCCATTGCCTCCCCACAAGATCATGGCTGATCCATGACCTAAATCTATATAGCTGCCTTTGGCCCCTATCCCTTAATACCTTTCTTCAAGAAGAAAAAAAAATTTACAAAGGGGCAAGAGGGAACATCTAATGCCCTCTTGAATTCCTTAATTGAATTTGCCTGTAGCACAATTGCAGACAGTGCATTCCAGATCCTAATTTCTCATTGTGTGAGAAAGTTCTTTCTCACCTCAGATTTGCTTCTTTTGCAAAATACTTAAAATCTGTGTCCACTGGTTTATGTCCTTTTTAAGCAGGATAAGTTTCTCCCTATCTACTGTGTCCAGACTCCTCATGATTTTGAAAATGTAGACTATGTCTACTTTTGTATTCTGTTCTCCTTATGATGAGCGACAACATTAGTGAATTTGCTACTCCTGAGTATGGTGGGAACTGGGAGACTGAATAAGTTCAGAGGAGATAGATTTTTTAATTAGTAATGGGTTAAAGGGTTATGAAGGGTGGTCAAGAAAGTGGAGTTGAGGCCAAGGTGAGTTCAGCCAGGATTCCATCAAATGGTGGAACAGGCTCTAGGGGCTGAATGGCCTACTCCAGCTCCTTTTTATATTGTAACATTCCACTAGCTTTCCTGGTAATTGCTGCACTTGCATACTAACCTTTTGTGATTCATACATGAGGACACCCAGATCCTTCAGCATCCCAGAGCTCCACAATTTCTCACCCTTTAGATAACATATCTTATTCTTCCTGTCAAAAGGGACAGGTTCACCCACATTGTACTCAATGTCTCCACTTGCTTAACCAATTTATAACTTTTTGAAGCCTCCTAATGTCCTTTTCAAAACGCACTTTGCTACCTATCTTAGCGGTGTCAACAAATTCTTTTTAACCTACATGTTCAGATTTGGCATTTACACACCTCTGGAGCAAGTGGGACTTGAACCTCCTAGCTCAGAGATAGGGACACTACCACTGTGCCTCAAGAGCTCCACATTGTCCTTTTAGCTAAGTCATTCATATATTGTGAGGACCTAGTACCAATTCCTGTGGCACATCAATCATTGCATCTTTCTGACCTGAAAAAGACCCAGTTATGCCTACTTTGTGCTTCATGTTAGCTAGCTGATCTTCTATCCGTGCAATATGTTACCCGTTACACCATAAGCTTTTATTTTCCACCATAATCTTTGGCATGATGATCTAAATACAATGCATCCACACATTCTCCTTTGTCCACAGCACATTAAAATGCCCGACTATAGTTTCTTTGGTAATAGCTTCTAACATTTTTCCTATAACAAACAGATGCTAAGTTAACTGGCCTAGAGTTTCATGTTTTTGTCTCTGTTTTATGAACAAAAAAGTTCCTCTTGCTATCTTCTAATGTAATCGACCTGCTCTTGAATCAGTAAGTTTTGCAAAATGATATGCTTTTAAAGTAAAGCAAAAAGAAAACTTGCATTTCAGAACCACTGGTCATTCCATAATGCTTTACAGCCAATGAAGTGCTTTAAATACAAACATTTTCTGATCAACCTGGTATTCCACACCTCTGGAGCAGGTGGGATTTGAACCTGAGACACCTGGCTCAAAGCTAATGACACCACCACTGCACATCCTGAGCCCGCACTGCTATCAATGCAAGTGTTAAATCAAGACCAGCAACAGCTTCTGATGACTTAAATGAAATTAGTGGTGCTGAATAATATGGAAAAGGTTGAGTCCCACTCCGTAGTATCACCAGTAACACTCCAGTACTTTACTGAGAGAGTGCTGCACTGTTGGAGCAGCCAACTTAAGGGTGAACCATTTTCCCCTCTAAGATTCTATGGTACTTGAAATAACTGCACTGAAGCCTGTATCCTGTCATTAAGTCACTCTTTATTTACTTGTGCACGGTAACCTGGCTGTTACCAGCCAGCTCGGACTCAGTCCCCTGAACTCAGGAGATTCTAAATCCCCTGTTTTTATTGGCCAAACAGGGCTTCCTGATTGGCCCAATTTAACAATCGCAACCAAGGATCTTGTAGTAAACAAGATCTCCCTGGTTCCAATCACTACAGTAATACTTTAGCCAACTTCTCCCTGGTTTCCTGGATAATATTTACACCTCAATTGACATTACTGTAATAGATTATCTGATTATTAATTTCTATTACTTGTGGAACGTTGCTGTGTGCTGTGCAATACCCTATGTTAGAAGAGTGGCTACATTTCAGTAATGTGTCATTGGTTGCGAAATTCTTTTGAGACATCTCAATGTTGTGAAAAATTCTACATAAACGTGTGTTTGTACAACTGCATCAAGAACATAAATGCAGAACCCAACCCATTTCAGCCCATCCCGAAGTGCATTCAGTAA